GTTCAGACCTGAATCGCTTTGTGTAACCTTAAAATTAAATCTGTTAGTAATTGTTACAGTTCAGACCTGAATCGCTTTGTGTAACCTTAAAATGAAATCTGTTAGTAATTGTTACAGTTCAGACCTGAATCGCTTTGTGTAACTTTAAAATTAAATCTGTTGCTAAATTTCTACGTATTCCACATTAACTTTCATATTTATATTATGCAATAATGTGTGTATTTGTTTAAAATAAAATGTATCTATGTGCATGTGTCTTTACGTTAAAGCTATTGATATAAAAAAAAAAAGATAAATATTTTGTAATTACCTTTCTTTTGGAAATTAAATTCTGTTCAATTATTTCTGTATCTGTCAATATGACTAATTAGACATAATGTTCTTCTTTTTGTTAGGTGAAGAAAGCTTTTTTTGCCCTAGTTCAGAATGGTAAGGATGAGATTATTTTAGCAATTTTACTAATAATTATACAGATAATTTCCACGTTTACAATTACAAAAAAACAGGTAGATTACTTTTTTCATGTAGAGTGAAAATGAAGTTGGTTTATTTGTTGAGATATAAAATTAAACAAAGCTTAACAATTTTAAACTTTTAGGCTTAGTGGTATTAAGTGCTCTTAATTTCATTAGTATTTGAACAGGCCCGTTACGGCCAGGTGGTTAGGGCGCTCAACTGATTCGTACTCTGCGGGTCGTGGGTTCGATTCCCCCATCCCACCAAACATGCTTGCACTTTCAACTGTGGGGGCATTATAATGTGATGGTCAATCCCACTATTAATTGGTAAAAGAGTAGCCCAAGAGTTTGCGGTGGGTGGTGATGACTAGCTGCCTTCCCTCTAGTCTTACACTGCTAACTTAGGGACGGCTAGTGCAGATAGCCCTCGTGTAGCTTTGCGCCAAATTACAAACAAACAGTATTTGAACAAATATTATCTTTAAGAAGTGTTTTTTTTTCAGTATTATACATGTTATTTGTATTATTGCTAACTTCCAATAACAAATTTCAGAGTTTTATTACTCTCTAAATCAATTCTTCCCAATCCTTCGCACTGTATTGGAAGCTGCACAATTGTATACTATATTTTTGTAGACCATTAATTACACAAAATACAATACAATTAAAGGTCTTAATTTTAATTCAATTTACCAATAGTGTTTATTTTCACAAACTAACAACAAAAGTTTAACTGCGGATTAGGAACCACTGTTCTAGATTATACCTGATTTTATTTTCAAAAACTAGCGAAACAAAAAAGCAGTTTAGACTTATTAAAAAGAAAAATCACAATTATTAAACCTAAAGAGATTAGCAAACTATCTAAAACAAAAGTTAATGCATCAATTTACTATGATTTTACATTCTCTTTTTTTTCTCAATACTGACGACTTCTAAAACATGTACATAGAAGTATGTGAAAGACCATTTTATGCTGTTACTTTTGAAAAACTAACGCACATATTCATCTAGAACTATGAACATAATATATTTTCTAATATAAAACTTATTTTTCAGTGTACTTGAGATACCAGTAACTGAACTACTTTTATAGTCTGTTTGTTTTCTTCATATAAACATTTTTATGTAGAAAAAATAAGATATTAATTTCATAACTAATTCTATTAATACATCCCTATTTAATAAGTATTAAGAAGAGCTGGTAAGAAAAGAGGTATGTTGAACTTAATTCTGTCCTATAACTTTAGTATTTAGTTATGTTTCTGTTTAGGAGTTAGAGCAGCACCTTTATGGGACAGCACGAGACAGGAATTTGTTGGTAAGTTTTTGCATTTTTTATTTATTTTCTTAAAATAAACTTTGATGTTTCTGTTGTTTTTTTTTCTTTTATATGATCATAACTTGTAAATTTGAAGTAGGAAAGTATGCCAACACAAGGAGTTTTAAACTTTTTAATGTTACGGAAATGGGTCTTCCAGTTGCATTTTGAACTGTAGACAAATTAACGATTTTTCAAAAATGTCAACATAGTGATTACATATTAACAATGCTTATAATTTACCTTAAACGTCCATAATAAGTAAACCTGGTGATAGTTCGAAGAAGTTTTATAAGCTGTTATTTTTGTTAATTATATCTTATTCATATGTTTTCTTATTGAATGGTTCTCATATCAGTGAAAGTCATGTAAATGTTTAATTCTCAATAATTTCATCTGAACTGTTTCTACCATTCAAGGAATGTTGACTATCACAGACTTCATTCACATTCTGAGGACATATTACAAGTCACCTCAAGTAAGTACTGGTTTTGGTTGCATTTTGTGGTTAGTCATTCTTTTCTAGGACCTGACATGGCCAGGTGGTTAGGTAATTTGATTTGCAATCTGAGGGCCGTGGGGGGTATTATAATGTGACGGTCAATCCACTATTCATTGGTCAAAAAGTAGCCCAAGAGTTGGCAGTGGGTGGTGATGGCTAGCTGCCTTCTTTCTGGTCTTTTACTGCTAAATTAGGGACAGCTAGTGAAGATAGCACTCGTGTAGCTTTGTGCGAAATTCCAAACAAGCCAAACTTATCGTTTTGTTTTTGTTCTAGCCGCAGAATCTGTAACACAAGAGTCTTCCAGTGGCTCAGCGGTAAGTCTGAAGGCTTATAACACTAAAAACTTGGTTTCAATACCAGTGGTGGGCATAGCGTAAATAGTCCATTGTGTAGCTTTGTGCTTACAACAAACAAAAACCGTTATACTAGAACCTAAAATCTATTGCGCATGATTGGACTGTTTCCAATTATTTTTTTGCTGAAGTACTGTAATAGATAGTTTTAACCTACAACGGCACCTTATGCGATATGCAAGTTAAAGAGCCAGGTCAGAAACCCTAAGGTTAAAACATTGTCGTCCATAAATTAGAACTGATGACCAATATCAAAGCAACCAATCCGTGACATCCAGCATCTGATTGACAAAGAAAACCAAAACATTCTTTGGTAGGACATATTACAAATCATTATTATTATTATTATAGTAACGGTTTTAATTTGTAACTAAACACTCCTTGAGGGTAGTACGGATGGCCGTACACTGTAAGTTAATTACTTATTATGGGTATGTAGATAAGCCTATTACAGTTTACTGTTTGAGAGTATCGTGTGAAGTGATCCATTTCAAGTCACCCATAGATCCATAAAGCAACCTGTCACAAGTCACTAATAATTGGCTTGTTGCAACTTCCTCTGTGTAGGTAATGTTGCATGTCGTCACCATTTGTGCTTATGTAAGTTAACCTGTAACAAGTTACTGTTTATGAATATGCAGAGTTACCTGTATGTATTTCTTGTGGTACACAGAGTGAATATTTCTATTTCATGTCATTCCTTGGGGTAATCTCCCTATATGGGTAAATGGAAGATAAACTGTTACAAAATGTCCTTGGATTGTTCTGAAAAAAGCAACTCTATAATTCCTTGAAAATGATTTTTAATATTGAGAAAATTGCTAGATTTGAAACCACAGTCTACAACATACTGACATTTTACGGGCTTTTTAAATAGTGGTTTTTGGTTGTTACCAAACAAATTGATTTACGTGAGTTTTCCTGGTGTGTCAGCATTAAGTCTACAAAGGTACAGTGCTAAAATGTAGGGTTTGATTCCCTGTGGTTGACAGAGAGCAGATAGCCAACTGTGTAGCTTTGCACTACAACAACAACAGCTCTGCATGAGTCATTGATAAGAATACTTACTAAGCCTTATATCGAGAATAATAAATAGAGATATGTCTGAAACTTGAATTTTGTTTTTTAAATATGTAGTAACTTCCCTTGAATTTCAAATACATAAACATGATAATATTTTGAAGTAGCTTACAAGCTAATTGTTTTTATTTTATTTGATATTTTTATATATATTTGGACATATGATTTTTGTACAGAACTAAGATGTCGGTGATTATTTGTGAATGTAATACTCTAGTTTTTGATTGACAGTCACAATAGATAGTGACTATGGTTGCCGTTTTCTTACGAGAAATGTATATGTTAATACTGAAGTGGCAATCATGGTCTCTTAGTTTCACATGAGCACTGTTTTTTAAAATATAAATCATTTTCTGTTATGAAATATGCAATGAATAGTTTCACTTGTTTTTAAAATATGATCATTATTTCAATACAGTTCCATTTAATTGATGATTAATTCTATTAACTGCTCTTATTCATTTATCTATGACCACAGACCCATATGGAAGAGTTAGAAGAACACAAGTTGGAAACCTGGTTAAGTAAGTAAAGATTTTTAGGAAAAGTTAAAAATAAAATATTTTTTCATAGAGGGGATAACAGATGTGGCAGATCTCACAGTTCTGGGCCACGTAGGAGATCTTGGAATGAAGAATGAAAACTTATATTTTTTTTAACATAAAGTTTTGGTAAATTTATAATTTTCTAAAAATATACATAATTAAAAATTCTTGTAGAAAGTTCACATATTTGCTAATAGGTGGCAGCTTGTGCTAGAGGAAAAATTATCTTGGTGTAGTGCTTAGTTGGAGTTCACTAATTGACACAGTTTGCAAATTTTCGTTTTCTCTGTGTTCTTTGCATTTGTTTTTCAGTATGAATCTTTATAAATATAAATCTAATGCTACTAAATTACTAAAAATACTGTGCTTAACAGTTAATCACTATTAAATGTTCCTAAAGCACTTTTATAGTAGCATATGACATATTAGTATCTTTATAAAACAGTTAGACAGTATTTTTTTTTTTAAGGGTACCTAGAAATATTTTTCATTCCTGGCCCAGGAATTTCTTTTCTGTGGGAACTTGAATATAAATAATTTTAAATCAAATTATTTAAGAGTATTTAATAATATTTAACATGATTAGAGTTTTAGATTTATAATTCAAATATTTAATAGAGACCCTTGCATATTTAGAAGAGAAAAGACACCACTCTCAGATTTTTGCTTCATTGAGTTAATTCAGCATTGTTGATAATGCTGAGTCAACTCAGTGAAACATTATGTACTTTTTTTTGATAAAGCTGAGTTATTGCCCTTTGAAGTTTTTGTCCAGTACCTTTTCTGTATCTCAGCTACTTAAATCAAAAGCACGAGACAAGCTGTTTGCATCATATACCATCTTGTAAAATAAATATTGACATATGTATAATAATCCCCTGTACAAAGAAATGCGTTCTTATTAGATATGCTATACTTACACTGAGTTAAATGTTTAGTTTAAATGCTTGTTTCTAAACTATAATATCTTTATTTAATTCCTTCTTCAAAATTACATATGGTGGTTATCATGATATGTATGTTCATGAAAATTATTCTGTATGAAATATGTTTATATATTATACATGTAAAAGGAAATTTATAGAGTTTGGACGAACTATTCGAATTAATTTTAAATGTGGCCCAGCATGGCCAGGTGGTTAAGGCACTCGACTGACTCATACTCTGTAAAAGGAAATTTATAGAGTTTGGACAAACTATTTGAATCAATTTTAAATGTGGCCCGGCATGGCCAGGTGGTTAGGGCACTCGACTGACTCGTACTCTGTGGGTTGCGGGTTCGAATCCCCATCACACCAAACATGCTCGCCCTTTCATCCATGGGGCATTATAATGTGACGGTCAATCCCACTATTCGTTGGTAAAAGAGTAGCCCAAGAGTTGGCGGTGGGTGGTGATGATTAGTTGCCTCCCCTTTACTCTTATACTGCTAAATTAGGGATGGCTAATGCAGATAGGCCTCGTGTAGCTTTGTGCAAAATTCATAGCAAACAACTTTAAATTATTTTAATAATTTGTCAATACTTCATGATGAAAGAACAGTCAGCAGGACCTAAATCTCCTATCTGGCAATGTTTTACAGAACCTGAGAGAGGGAGTTTGAAGTTTACTTTAAAAATACGTTTATATAATATTTTGTGATATGTAACTCAGTTAAGAAATAATAACACAATTATATAAGTTTTCTGTGTTACCTGGCCTGACAATACTCTCAGTACTTCTACATTCAGCATTGAACTTAAAAATGGTACGAGGGATTCACCCCCTCTTCTTCTTATAACCTGAAAATGGGAAGACGGTACAAGTAAGTTACGCTCTCTCCTGTAATTAACACAGAACTTAAAAAAAGATGTGCACTAATTTACCTCAACTTACAAAACGTAGAAATCTGTTGTGAATCACACGTTTTTATGTACTAAAGTCCACATGGATCGTCTACATTGATTACCATATAAGTACGTATACAAAACAAGTAAAAAATTACACAGGCCTACAATGGTTTTATCGTCTTGAAATTTTTACATGTTCCACAGTAATTCTTGTAAGCTGAATCCAAAAATTATATCCATTTCTCTCCATCACGTACAGATTTTTCACAAATCGTCATAACACAATACATGAAAAAAAGACCACAACATGTAGTTTGGAGACTAAAAGACATAGATTTCACACAAAAAAAAAACAGGATGATTGAGGATGCATATTCATTTGATGTCAGTGTTCTTCACTTTTCTTCAGTTTGTTTGTATTTTTTTTAACAAGCATAATAATAATAAAAAATGTTCATTGTGGTAAACAAAATATTAATTTTATCTAAGTAAGTTTTTTTGCTTCCCGATTTATAAAAAAAAATCCTTACGTTATAGAAAAAAAAAGAATATTACTTGCGTAGCTGAATTATGGAGAATCCATTATTAAAACCAAAACAACTTTTATGAGTTTAAATTTGCAGGCCTGTGTAATCTATCTTGACTTGTATATGTTACATGTACCACAACCTATCAAACCTAAAAATGACCATATAAATATGTGTGTGTGTTTGCATACATACATACATACACCAGTGATGCATTTGCCTCCCTGTGGCTCAGCAGTAATCCTCCAGGCTTACAGTGATGAAATTCAGGTTTCAATACTTGTGGTGGACAATGCACGTATACCCCATTATGTAGCTTTTTGCTTAATAACAACCATACCAATATTGCACTCTCTTGTTGTGTGTACCAGAACATGTACATAAAAGAATCCATGTGTTTACCTTTCATGATTATATAATATATATTGTTGTTCATTTGCTAATTATTTTATGGCATGTAGTCTATGTATATTAATGATGTAGAATTTTGTGTTTTAGTTTTGTTATTATAAGCGGTATAGTCATTATGTACAGTATCTTCATTAGCTTACAGTGTTACTTTGTAAAAGCTGTTTCAGAGACACTTCTTGGACATACCTAACTATCTCTTTGGGTGAATTACTGCATTACATTGATGTTTAGATATTTTGTGTAACTGTGAAAATGTGTTGTTATTAATTAATTAATCTGGTATTTCTCTTCTTTCTTTTTTTATATAGATGTCTTGAAGACTAAATTAAAACCTCTCTATACTATTAGACCTGAAGCAAGGTAACTTAATTTATTATCATCCTGAGAAACTAAAGGTCCCCCCCCCCAAAAAAAAAGATTATATTATGCACACCACTAAGTATTTTTCTTCCTCTCAGAATTTCTCATTAAATGTCATTTTATCATATATGATAAGTATTAATTGACCAACCGAGATCAAATTCACATTTCAACCACTTATGCAGTGCGAGATTTAAATTTAATTTCATTTAGAGTTTGTTTTGGTTTTCCTGAACGTGTACAGCTAATCTATTTATTACACATTTCTGTAGTCCTATCATTTTCAAACTTAATGGGATCTTCTTGTTTAACTGGTTGGTTACTACATAATGTTATTGAGCTTACTAGTAAATGTTCCAGGTCTTCTTATTTCATACAGAGTGTGAAACAATAGCCTAGCATAACATTTCTTTTAGATGCATAAAAGTATTATCAATTACAGTAAACGTGTCGCTTATTATCACTTTTTCACATGTGAATTGTATAAAACATTAAGCGTATATTAATTATACTTTACTACTTCCGTCACGAGCAATCTTCTTTTACGAAGCTCAAGTTGACCTCTATATTATAATTTCATGACTCAGCAGTCATTCGTGTGATGGTGAATGATGTTGAGGTTAAAATTATTCAGTGTTTTCACTATTGATTTGTTCTTTTCAAAGATATTATTGTGAGCATGTATGTAGACCTTCGACACGTAAATATTATAATTTCATGGCTCAGCAGTCATTCGTGTGATGGTGAATGATGTTGAGGTTAAAATTATTCAGTGTTTTCACTATTGATTTGTTCTTTTCAAAGATATTATTGTGAGCATGTATGTAGACCTTCGACATGTACATAGTTGACCAAGAAGTTAGATAAAGATATTTGGAAAGAAAGTAACAGGAGTAGGGTGTCAGTCCTCATTCCACGTATCGAGCTACATCATGTAAATTGATTATGGTGACAATAAAATGTAGTTTTATTAGTTATTATGATGATTATGTGAATTTATTTGTCACGTCTATTCATTATGTATGTGAACTACCTTCAGTAAAATGTTTAAATTAGCAGTTTCCAGGATCCCATAAAGTCCTTTCAGTATGTGAATTTGGGGTCATTGAGACTAATGCTAACATTTCAGTGTCACATAGAGTTATCACAGTGGTAATATAATAGTTAATACTAAATGATAACTTTTTCTGTTAGTAGTTTACTAACGCAAGACAAAACAACTGTTGAACATTGGCTCATTCTAACAACAAATGACAAAAATGTTGTGTTGCTAACATATTATAACTAACCTTTATTAGCAATACCCATTATTAATTGTTACAACCGTTTAACATATTCTGCCATTAAACCATAATACAATTTTATCTTCTACTAGAAACCGATTAGTTTCACATAACCATACTCTCAATAATACTTCCGAACACTATGAAACTACCTGTCGTTAGCGATGATAATATACCAACAACAAGAAGACACGTTTATTTCATTATGGATATAGTACTTATGTTTTAAAAGTAATAAGTTTTTTTTTACCCATCAATGAACAATTTAGTTATAAAAGCATGAAGAATTGAATGTATTGTAAAGTTAGTTTTTCTAACATGTGATACTTTGTTTTTTGGTTACCACTATCTTTATTTAAAGCGTCTTTTAAACATTTATTAGAAATGTATTTATAAATTTTCTTTGATAATTTTTAACTATTTTTATTAATGTTTTCATGAATATAACTAGTGTAAAGTTTAGTAATA